GTTGTGTCTGTTCCCTTCATGTTCCCCAGCCAGCAGCTGCCTCACTCCCAGACCCTGCCCCCAGCCAGGTGGCGTCTCCACCTCCCTCCCTTTGTCTCTCCCCTGGGAAGGGCCTTGTTCTCTGCCCAGGCTGGGCCGAGGTGTCTGGGCCAATCCACAGGTGGGTGAGTCAGAGGGAATCACAGCCCAGCGCAGGGGGACCCGGGTACAGAGCAGACAGCCCCCCCATCCCATGGCACATCAGGAGAATGGCCACCAGGGCCTTGTTCTCTGCCCAGGCTGGGCCGAGGTGTCTGGGCCAATCCACAGGTGGGTGAGTCAGAGGGAATCACAGCCCAGCGCAGGGGGACCCGGGTACAGAGCAGACAGCCCCCCCATCCCATGGCACATCAGGAGAATGGCCACCCGGGGCCAGACCAAAGGCCCGTCTGGCCCAGTGCCGGCCTCTGAGGGAGGGACCAGAACTGGCGATTCTTGGGGGACCCGTCTGACGGCGTCCAGCAGCCGGGGGGTAGGACGCCCAGAGCGTGAGGCTGCGCCCCGGACCCTCGTGGCAGACAGCCCCGCTGCACCTGTCCTCCGGGGGCTTAGCTAACCCTCTTGACTCCAGTTATACTCTTGGCCTTCGCAACGTCTCCTGGCAACCAGCCCCACAGGGCGCTGGGGGGAGAAATACGCCCCTGGGCTCGTTTGCAACCCGCCCCCTTGCAATTCCCCTGGGCGCCCCGGGTCTTGTGTTCTGAGGCTGGGTAGGGTCACCCCTCCCTGGTCTCTGTCTCCCCACAGGCATGAGTTTCTGGGCCTCTGTCCTAGCCCGAGATGGACAATCCCCGTCGTTTTAAGCTCGCTTCAGGTGGCAGCTGTTCCATACCCCTCACCACGTTCGGAACCCTTGCCGAGAGATCTGTAAGCGCACTCGGACTGGCAGGGACCTCGAGTCCACTCCCCTGCCTCACGGCAGGACCAAGCGCCGTCCAGAGCAGTGTTTCTCAACCTTTTTTTATAAAGTACCCCTTTTGCAAAAAAAAAAATTATAAGTACCCCCGGAACGTACAATTTTCAGACACACAACACTGTTTTTCTCCCATTGCAACACATTTCGTGAAACAATTTAATTGTAGCCGGGCGGGAGATGAAATTTTTGGGTGTAAAAAGTACAAAAATAATAAAACGCTGTAAAACTTAAAACAAAAAATTCAGTTTTCGCCACATTTCAGTTGTGTGGACGGACTCCCCCCCGCCCCCGACTTCTCTTGAGTACCCCCAGGGTACTCGTACCACTGGCTGAGGAACACCGCTCTAGATCATCCCTGGCTGGTGTCTTTTCTATGATGAGGCAACCATATCTGCCCGCAGCACGGTGGACGCACCGTGGCTTGGTACACTAGGCAGTGAGGGTATGTCTACACTACCACTCTAGTTCGAACTAGGGTGGTTAATGTAGGCAACCGGAGTTGCAAATGAAGCCCGGGATATGAATTTCCTGGGCTTCATTTGCATGTTGCCGGGCGCCGCCATTTTCAAATGTCCGCTAGTTCGGACTCCGTGCCCGCGGCTACACGCGGCACGAACTAGATAGTTCGGATTAGGCTTCCTATTCCGAATTACCTGTACTCCTCGTGGAACGAGGTGTATCGGTAGTTCGAATTAGAGATCCTAATTTGAACTACCTACTTCGTGCTGCGTGTAGCCGCAGGCACAGAGTTTGGACTAAGGGACGTTTAAAAATGGTGGTGCCTGGGCCCAAGATGCAAATGAAGCCCGGGATATTTAAATCCCGGGCTTCATTTGCAACTTCGAATGCCTACATTAACCACCCTAGTTTGAACTAGGGGGCTAGTGTAGACATACCCCCTGAGCCCTGCTGTCCAGCACTTCAACTCTGGGCTCGGGGCCTCTAACCTGAGACCAAATAGTCTAACGCCAGCCCTGGAGACCCTGTTAAAACAGGGTCACAACCCATGTTGGGGTCCCCACTCCCAGCTGATATAAATATAGCAAGCAACTAGGCACGTATGTTGGGGCAATTCACCTGCATTAGGGATGTTAAATATCGCTTAATTGAATAGTCGAGTAACCTCATGTATTCTTATTGGTTAGTCGACCAGTCTGTAGTTCCTGGGGGCGGGGCTGGCAGCCACAGGGCCCCAACCTCACACC